ATGAGATTTGATAACCTTTTATCAAATTTTGGTACTCTTTGTCTTTTGTTCTACTTCAATTGTTGGCTTGTGCTCTTTTTGATTCTTGCGAGACTCTTGTAATCTGCTTGCGTTTCTCTTGTAACCTCTTTGCTACCTTTTCATTATCTTAATAAAATCATCTATTGCCTTCCAAAAAAAATCAAATTTTGGTGCTCCTTATGAAATTGAGACTTTTACAACCTTCATATGAAATTTTGATAACACACTAAGAAATTTTGATAACCTCCTCATGAAATATTAGTAACCTCATGAAATTTTGTTAACCACACTATGAAATTCTTATAACCTTGCTATGACAATCTCTTTGATAACCTTTCTATAAAATTGTGATAATCATACTATGGAATTTCAAAAACCTTCCTAAGAAATTTTAATAACCTAATCCTATGAAATTTTGATAACTTCCATATGAAATTTTGGTAACCATACTATGGAATTTTGATAACCTCCTCATGAAATTATAATAACCATCTTATAAAATTTTAATAACGACACAGAGACAAGAAAATCAAAATCATAATATCACCTATTTTTCTAACTCAACAATTTCCAACTGAACAAAGTGAATGAGACAAAACATTACATAACGAAGAGATGGAGTTTCACTAACAATAGTATTATACGTGTTAGTGTTAGTTTAATTCTTTTATTGACATTTAAAAAATTGAAATTAAAAGTAAAATATCAAATTCAAAAAATAATAGTAAAGGAAATTTGAAAGTTCATCAACGAAAATCAATTTGACAAACTTATAATTTATTCTACATTGGAATTTTTAAATAATAAAATTATACTAAATTTTAATAATGCCAATTTAGAAATATATTTGAAAAAAAGGGTACAATTGAAAAACATAAAGTTTGCTATTATTCGTAGAAATATGCATGTTCATAAATGAAAATCAATTTTACAAACTTATAATTCGGTCTAAATTGAAATTTTATAATTAATTTTTAAATAATAAATTTTAATAATGTCAATTTAGAAATATATTTGAAAAAGGGTACAATTGGAAAATATAAAATTTCCCCTCATTCGTACTTTTATATATAGTACTAATTTTTACCTTCACGTGCGTTGCACGTGGCACAACGCGTGTGGACAAAATTAATTTTTAAATACTTAAAAAATAAGAGATCACAAATATTCAATTAAAATAAATATTTAAATAATATAAAATATTAATTAGAACTGATTATCAAAAAACATTGAAAAAAATTTCATGTATTACATTTCTATTCGTAAATGTTTGACCATCCTCACGTTGATCTACATATGATATTTAAAATAAAATATTAATGAATTGTGTTATCCAAATATTAATATAATGAAATTGAGTTTTTTTAAAGTAAAAATTGTGTATGTTCCTTTTTGTTTTTTTTTTTTATTTTCTGACTTGACTAAAACTTTTGTTGAAGACATGGAAATTACCCGAAAGAGTGTCATATATAGTTGTCCATGAGAGAAAACATTTTGCGGCAAATATAGTCAACATTCGGTATCGTTTGTCCTTGTGCTTTGTTGATAGTCATAGCGAAACAAAGACGGATATGGAATTGTTTTCTTTTAAATTGAAATAGATATCCTTCATTTTCAGCTGGTGAAAGTAGAGTTCTTGGAAGAAGAACTTGCTTTCCAACATATTGGCAAAGTTTTTGCACTTGTCTGAAATCACCTCCAAAAACAACCACTTTTCCTCCATAACAAAACATGCAAAAGATACCTAATTTACATACCATTGTTTTCATACTGAAGAAGTTGACATTTAAGCAACTAACTTATTTTTTGTTTCTTGTTGTTGACCTTAATGTTACCATTAGCATTGATATCTTTTGCAATTATTTCTGCCCTTTCCTTGACACTTAAATTAGCATATCTCTTTGTCATGATTCTAACAATTACATAGACCAAAAAATTAGATGGTATTGTGATACTTAAGTACAAAAACTTAACAAAGAAAATATATGATTTTGTTTTGGCCTACAATAACTATTTTTTGCATATTCCAATCAATTGGGGCCAAACGAATACCTTATAAAGGTAATATATATCCACATGCGGTAATTATGATTCATATATACTTAAATGATTTGATATATTGTACGCCAAAAAACTGATTGGTATATTATCTTAACTGTGAGGTTTGTAAGGTAAGTGATTTTCGTTCAATAAGGGAGTCCAAAATCAGCTGCATTAGATATCTGTTCAATAATTAGATAGCTACTTAAGTTGGTATCAAGTGATATTAAAGGTTCTACCTGTCACAAATGGTGAAAGGTGGGTACTTGACCACTGTAAGAAAAGTCAAATAAGAAAAGTGAAGACACTATTCGAGCCTCCCTAATTGAAAGAGAAGAGAAATTCCTTGCGCGCTTCGTCAAGTGAGAGAGAGGATCACATATCTCATGGTTGATTCCAAAACATGCTAGATTTCCAACTTTGTAGGAGTTTGAGAAAACTTTCAAAGTGTTTATTTTATGGGTGATTGAAGGAGTCTTGACTCAAGAATAAGTGTTATAATTTAGTTAATAATGACAGAATTCTCTGTTAAAGTAATAAAAATAGTTAATGCAACTTGGCGTGCGTGTATACGAACTACAATGAGAGTGTGGGATCAAAACAACTCTCAGCCCTAAGCAAATGTCCCTTCGGTTCATGTATTTCAAATTACATCTACTGGCCATATTCAAAAAGAAATCAGTGACATTGCATTGATGTGAAGCGGAGTTTTGTGATTGTTCTACACTTCTCCTGCATAATACCTCTTATAATCAGTACTTTGATTGTGCAATGAAGTACTGCTCTGGTTTAAGGTTAGCTTATTCGGAGGATTATATATATATATATATATAAATCAATTCAAAATTATTACATATTCTTTTTACTGATTGATTCAATTCTTCCAGGAATTGGGCTGTTTAATTCTAGAATTCAAGATACATAATATAGGTGAGCTGTTTAATTCTACAATTCAAGATACATATTATAGATTAGCTTTAGCTGTAATTGATAGGAAAAAGGGGCATAAAAATTGTTAATTAAGCTATAATAATTTGGATGTTAGCATTAATTAAAAGTTTGGCCCTTAATTTTCTACATTAATTTGGGATGAAATCAAATTATAATTAGTTACATCTAAATCAATGTGAAAAGTTTCACCAAAACCAAATAGATATTGGAGCTTTCATATTAAAACAAAATGATTAATTTTTACAAAAATCATCATCTTCTAGGAAAAACATAAAGATGGAGAGCCACCCTTCATATGAAGTGTGAACATTGTCCTGTAAGATGCAAATTTGGTCTCATCAACTAATTTTAAGCGGAAGAAACGAGGAATGGCAGTTGAGACAATCTTCATCTTCCTATAAGCAAAATCCTTGCCTAAGAAGTTCGAGGACGCGCTTGCAAAATAAAACCAACCCTATAAATACCAAATACTAATTTAAATTGACATGCTATAAGAAGTTATACATGACAAATTCATATAAACATATTGGAAATTCTATAGTCTTCTTCATGGTATTCTCTAGTCTTCTTGTCAATTGTTCTTCTTGTCTTGATTTTTCTTTTGTGCCTTAAACTCCTTTCATATCGAGTATTGACTATTCCTAACATATCGAAGCCTTAGTTTCTTCAATCATCATGTATTTCTTCTTATTCTGGGAAAAAAGGAAAATATATATTTTATAAATAATAAGATTGAAAAATAGATAACAGAACCAATTAAGGGTTCTAGAGACGGATGTAAGGATGTAAAGCAAGGTTCTTTTTCTATAAGTGAATGCAAGCTCAATAGAAACAACAAATCCTCAGTATTTATTAGCTATTAATGAAAACTGAAAGTAAATTCTGAAATCACAAACGTGTTTACCCTAAAAGATTGTAAATACATGTAGTTAAATGCACTAATTTTTTTTAACTACAGATAATTAATATAATATATTGATTAATGAATACTACAAGAAAATTAAAATACTTTTAGTATAATGGCAGTATAGAAATATATTTGACAAATAAGGGTATAATAGGTGATTCAAAAGTTTTATAGGTGAACGTACTTTTTAATATAGTATAGATAAATATATTTGGAGAAACTATTGATTTTGTCTCATTTCGGCCCAATAGGCTCGTTTGAGCCCATGAAGTCCAAATTGTCAAGCCAGATGTCTTGAAGTCTAAATCTGATATTCTTAGGCCCAATTCGTTAATATGGAAGCCCAAAGAAGGAGTTCAAGTCCAATCAGTAATTATGATGTAATAATGATTCAGCTCTGATGCAGCATTGTTAAATTCTATTCAAAGTACTTCACAAGAGCAGTATTGGAAGATAATTCATAACTTTTGATCCAGAGTTCAGAATAATGCAAATGAGGTACCGTTGGAAAGAGGATGAGATCTACAACTTCCATGTTTATCTCGAGACCTAATTCTATCGTTTCGGCGGATGATTTTGCCCTTGAAATTTCTGTACAAAATTGATCTTCTCCTAAACCGACTTGGAGAATGTTTTGGACGAAAATTCAGATGTTAAAGATGATGTGGGACATCCCTATTGGCCACATTGGATCCTAATTAATAAGGATAATCTAAATTTCCATTACTTTAATAGTGGAATGATTAAAATTAAAATATTATTTAATAATGGTAATTTAGAAATATATTTAAAAAAAAAGGATACAATCAGAAAACATAAAGGTTCCCTTATTCGTACTTTTATATATAGTATAAATGAGTAAAACTTCCTTTGGGCATTCCATTTTCATCATAACTTCCATTGCTTCCTTGTATTTTATTAATGCAATTATGTCAAATCGATTATATATAATAGTTCAAAATCATCTTTACTTGGTAAGTAATTCGCATCAATTTTTTTTTTTTGCTACAAAAGAACTAGAAAACATAAATTAGGGCCTTAAAACACCCTCCCCTATCCTAGGAGTTGCACCGGATGTTCATCAACACCAGCTCACAACCGGAGGATTATCATGAGCTAAAGTAGCCAATAGATCCGCACATCTATTACCCTCTCTGTAGATGTGCCTAATCTTTGTAATCCATCCCCCCTGTATAATCTCATAACAGTCACGAACCAAGGTGTAGCAAGGATGAGAAGAGTCTAACTGATCCTTAAGAAATTGAACAACCACAGCAGCATCCATCTCTATCACCAAAGAAGCAATATTCATGGACTTAGCCATTAAAAGGCCTTGCCGAATACCCCATAGCTCCGCACTCAAACTATCCGTAGTGCCTATATTCAACATAAAGCCCTTAACCCAACCGCCATTGCTGTCTCGAATCAAACCCCCTGCCGAAGCTTGACCATCATGAGCCCTCCGAGAGCCATCCATATTAAGAATGAGAATACCAGGAATATGAGGCTTCCATTTTACTACCCTCGGTGCTGACAGCGATTTCGCAAAACCCGCATTCCATGCCATAGCGGAATCTTGCGCCAACTTCACTGCATACGCCACTATACTATCAGCACTTGGTACAATCCCTTGAAAAACATTTTATTTCGAGCCTTCCAAAGACTCCAAAGGACCGAAACAAAAAGCAAATCCCATAACACAGATTGGGAATCCAAAATAGATGGAGTCCCTCGGGTAGCATTACTCCGGATCCAAACACGAAACTCTTGATCACTCCGAGCATCAAGCCCATACCTATGATACAAACTACTCCAAACACCCTCTGCAAAAGGACAACCTCGCAATATATGATCAATGATTTCAACATCCCCCTCACACAGCGAACAACCTATTTCCGTTGTCAAGCCCTTTCGACTCCGCACTGCATTAGTATTCAAACAATTAAAAAAGGCAAGCCAAAGAAAGAACCTGATACGTTCTGTTGTACGCAACCTCCAAATCCAACTACAAGAACCAACCAAATCATCATGCCGAAACAAATTAGCTAAAACACCGTAAGCTGATTTCGTAGTAAAACAACCCGACTTGTCCCAAGCCCATGCGCACCTATCTCCTTCCAATGAGCTAGTGAATCAAGGAATAGCTCTAATCTCTTCTAATTTCAAGTTGGAAAGAAACGGTCTCAAAGCATTTAAATCCTATTCACCATCACTTGTCAAAATAGATGCTACTTTAGTATCACGAGCAAAAGAATCAGCATCAAAAGGCAAAACATGATTAATTAAGGGACCATCACCTACCCACCAATCGAACCACAAACTCGTTGAGCGGCCATCCCCTATAGACCACTTGGTACCCTGTCGAATGCACTCAACTGTTTTCCGAATACCTCACCAAGTAGAAGATTGTCGACTAGTATATTTACTATTCACGAACTCAACCCCCTTCAAATATTTTTCCTCAAAAATCTCAGTGTATAAAGAATGTTGCCTCATTTGTAATTTCCACCCTGTTTTAGCTAACATTGCTACATTGATCAATCTGGCTTTCCGAAGCCCCAATCCTCCATTACCTTTTGGACGGCACACTCGATCCCAATTTACCAAATGATTATGTGAGTTTTCAACATCACCACCCCATAAGAAATTTCTACTAACCTGATCCAACTTTTCACAAACGGAAACAAGTAATAAAGCAGTTTGCATGGTGTAAACTGGAATGCTACTAAGGGAGGACTGAATCAACGTTCGTCGGCCTGCATAACTTAGCACTTTACCCTTCCAATTAGCCAATTTCTTCAACACTCTATCAATCACATAACTGTAGGTAGACCGAGTTACCTTTGTATGAATAATGGGAACCCCAAGATAAGTGCCCAAATCCTGGCCCAATGGAATGCCACAAAGAGAACTCAACCTTCCCGCTTGCTGCCTGGAGATATTTGGCGATACCCAAAGCTTAGATTTGAGTAAATTCATCTCTAAACCAGAGGCCTTGCCAAAGTCTAACAACACATCCATAATAAGCTTCACCTACTCCTCCGAAGCCGATCCAAATAACATCAAATCATCTGCAAAGAACAAATGAGATAGTTTTGGACCTGACCGACATGATTTGACAGGCACCCACTGCTTTCTATCCACCCTTTCCAAAATCATATGAGAAAGCCGCTCCATCGCCAAAATAAATAAATATGGCGATAAAGGATCACCTTGTCGAAGACCCTGCTGAGGTTTAAAACTAGGCAAAGCATCTCCATTCCAAATGATAGACAAATCAATATTAGTAACACAAAACATAATCAAACTAATAAGCTGAGTAGGAAACCCAAAAAAATTCAAAACCTCATGAAGAAACTCCCAGCTCACATTATCATATGCTTTTTGCAAATCAATCTTCAAAATCATAGCACCCTTTCTCCCTTTTAAATTACTCAAAGTATGAACTATCTCCTGAGTAATCAAAATATTGTCCGTAGTACTTCGACCAGCCAAAAAACTGTTCTGAAATGGACCAATAATACGCTGGAGAATAGGTCTCATCCGATTCACCAAGACCTTAGATAAAATCTTATAACAAGTATTAAGCAAGGTTATCGGACGAAAATCCTTCACAGATGTCGGATTACTACCTTTCGGAATAAGAACCATGTGTGCATGTAGCAGGTTAACATCAATCTTGCCTGAAGTAATAGCCTCATCAACAAATTTCAACAGGGACTCTTTAACAGTAACCCAATTACGTTGATAAAAAATAGGTTGAATACCATCCACCCCAGGGGCTTTAAGGCCCTTCATTGAAAACGTGGCCAACCGAACCTCATCAAAAGAAGGGTGCTTAACCAGCTCCAACTTCTCTTCCTCCAAAACACACATCGCAAACTGATTAAAAGATGAACTAAGAGACTCCTTTTCCTTTTTACCAAACAACTCACTATAAAAACTCACAACATGCGAACTCAACACATTTTGTTCTGTACACCAAACATCCCCAATCGACAAGCCCACAATTAAATTGCGATTTCGTCGAATAGCAGTAGTGAGATGGAAAAAACGAGTGTTCCTTTCGCCATTGAAAACCCACTCCAATCTAGACTTTTGTAACCAAAATAATTCTTCTTGCTCCAATACCGTATACAACTCCTCTCGTAACTGAATTTCCAACTTCTGGAGAAAAGTAGAAGTAGCAAAATCCTCGAAATTTGGAGCTCCTCGGATCCTTGCCAAAAACTCTCTTTCTATGAAAAATATTCCTAAACACATCCACCTTCCAGGCCTGAACATCTTTAGTAACTTCCTCAATAGCCTGAGATAGAGACCCTTCACCACGAGACCAAGCAGCTGCAAAGACCTGAGAGAACTCCGGATGAGTGAGCCAAGCCGCTTCAAAACGTACGGGTCTATTTTTAAGTGGCGCCTTTTGGATACAATTGAAATCCAAAAGAATCGGATGGTGATCTGAACATAAACAAGGCAAATTCATGATTTTGGCATCCGTAAGTTCCGTTAAAGCAGCCAAATTCCAAAGTACCCTATCAAGTTTTTCCTGTAATACAACTCGACCACCCACTCGTCTTCTCCAAGTGAATTTCGACCCTGAAGACCCCGCATCTAACAAGTTACAATCATTCCACCGATTTCGAAACTTCAGGACTCGATTAATCAGAAAACTAACATCATCTTTTCCATCCCATCTCTCCTCCAAGGCTGCGAAATCATTAAAATCCCCGAGAACAATCCAAGAAGAAGAAATAGAAGCAGAAAAATCTTTCAAATCACGCCAAAAAATATCCTTAAATTGGGTTTGAGGCCGCACATAAGCAAATGAAACCATATGCTGTACTCCCTTATACAAAATACTCGTATGAATAATTTGAGTGGAAAAAGAATGCACCGTTAGATCAGTTGTTGCAGCATTCCAGAAAAGAACAATTCCTCCTGCCATGCCTTCCGTTGGAACCTCAAAATAATCTGAAAAACGAAGATACTTCGCCACTCTCTTGACAACCTCAGTATTCACCTTCGTTTCCAATAAACATAAAACTTCAGGCTTGTACAACTTCAACAATTCTTTACAGGTCCTCCGAAAATTAGAGTAACCTAAACCCCTGCTATTCCAGGTAATTATCTTCATAAAACAAGGGAAGAAGAATTCTGTTGGACTAAACCAACGTCAATCATCATCTGCTCTTCAGAAGCTTCAACTACAAAACCATCAGTCCCATTTAACCTCTCTTCGTTCCCCTCCACTTCCTTTTCCTCTAAAGAAACCGCAGGAACACCAGACTCATTTGAAGGAGGATTTTGCGGTGGAAGAATTGAGGGATCAGAAGTCAATTTCTTTCCCCCATCAGACTTCGAAAACTCCATAGCCACCACAGAAGCTCCCTCATTAGTTGACGACCTCGTAGTGAAAGAAGCTGTTGAGATTTCCATTACACCATCCATAACAGGCCCATGTAATTTACTCCCAACAAGCTCCTCCAAACGTTTAGCATCAAAGGTAACAGGCCTATAATCACCTGCCTTAAAAGAGAAACCCGGAGGAGGCCCAATTACCTTATTGGGCTCAAAGACAGAATAAGCTTTAGGAAGATCTGCATCAGACCGAGAGGAGGAAGCAACACCCTTTGATTTCGCCTTAAATCCCTCTTTACCTGAAGATTTAGACGATATATTAATGCCATAATCTTTCTTGGGTTTCCACTCTTTCCTATCATACTTGAACGGACCATTCTTCACAGAAGAGAATTCTTCCACTAATTTCTCCTTTTTCTTCTCCACCAAATCCTCCTTGACATTCTTGAAGTGATTAAAACGATTCCTAGAATCATGCCCAGGATCACTCCTAACTGTTGACTTGCCTTTCTCAACAGTTTCCTGCACTGGTCGGCGACCTCTCTGTTGGGCAATCATCCATGGATCAAAACTTGCATTTGTCGATGTTTCCACCACCTGAGATGGAGTCTGATCAGAATGACTAGGCACTGAACTAGCGGCATTAGTTGTACTCTTACCCGAAGTCATGGAACAAGCATCCCTTCTATGACCAAACTGGCCACAACTAAAACAAATTAAGTGTAACCCTTCATACTCAATTGCTTGAACCATGGTGCCAATGTCTACCGACGACCTCAACGGAACCGACAGATCCAACTCCACGCAAACTCTTGCGAAACCACCCCTAACTACACTCTCCGCAGTTTTGTCCAATCGAATCACTCTGCCAACTTTCGATGCAATTCTTCTAATCGCCATATTAGTGTAATACTCCAAAGGCAATTGCGGTAGTCGAATCCAAGCTACAATGGATTTGATAACATCTGAATTTGGTTTGAAATTATGTGTCCATTGCCGAACTGTGAGATAATGCCCACTGATCACCCAAGGACCACCATCCAGAACATGTTTACAATCCTTCCTCTTCTGAAATTTAAAACAGAAGTAATCGTTACCAAGATCAATAATTCTGTATTTGCCTTCAATACGCCATAGTTGTTGAACTCTTGATGAAAGAGCTTTGAAACCAAGGATTTTGCCAAGCAATTTCACGATCAACGCATTGTTCCATGGTTTCCTTAATTCACGTTTCTCCTCGATTGAGAATCGAACCCATGAATCAGAATCCTCCCCCTCTTCTCCATCCGATACAGAATCCTCAAACATAATACTATCATCCCCTCCATCAATCTCAGTCCAGTCCTCCCAAGTAGACTCCTGGACAGGCACACTTCGAGTACCCCGATCCCTATAAGAAACATTACTAGATTCCAAAGGAACCTTGGGCGCAGGAATCTCAGCATCCAATTCCTCCTCCCCTTTGTCAAGACCATCCACTGGACCCTCCTCAGCCCTTCGTTTCTTATATTTCTTCTTACTCCGACGAATAGCCTCATCCGCGAGATCCGTAACCAATGGAGAGGCCGGCGGCGTACTCTCCATTTGAAAAAAAGAATACTATAGGATTTGTCTAATTGAGGTAGCGGTCTAAGTGAAAAAGTATCAAAGGGAGTTAGAACATTCAAAACGTTCTTCCTTTAGTAATTCGCATCATTAAAATAAGGATTTATATACAAAACGTAAATGAACTAATTATAATGATTAAGTTTATTTAACATGATTTTATTAGAAACTAATTTGAATATAAATGTGGAAAGTTTCCGGTACAACACAACTTGATTCAAATGAGTTAAAATCCAATGTGATTTTAAAATATTGGGAGTTTGTACCGATAAAGATGTTGCGAATTAAACAATAAAGATAAAGTTTAAAAGAACAAACAAGAACAAGAAGATTTTACGTGGTTCGATCAATGTGATCTATATCCACGGGCAGAGAAAGATTCTTATTAATTTGGGAGAAAATCATACATCAAGAATACAAGATTTCGACCCCTTATATAAACTTAGGGTACTTAGTTCCTATTCGGCCTTCAAGTTGGTGTCCGACATGTATATGGGCTGCTCGATGGGTCTTGCTGGAACAGACAGGGTTCGGGTCTCTCTCAACAAAAGAAATACAGATAATATGGAGAAGAGTATTAGATATAGTAATTTAATTTCCAACTCCTTAAGCCCACTCCTAACTGTGCTTTTATACCCATAGGCAAAAATCTAACTATTTATATCTATTAATTAATCTAGCTTTAAGCTTAGATAAAACAATCTTTTTTTTTTATATTATATACAATTAGATTAAACAATCTGTTTCCTACCAAATTATTCTGAATGGGTGTTCTCCAACCCTTCAAGCCAACCAAAAACCCGAGACAGGGTGATTCCATATCTCCATATCTTTTCATTCTCTGTCAGAATATCCTCTCCTTAATGCTAATGAAGGAACATGATAATGGATCAATTGAAGGCACTAAAATTTGCAGAACAAGCCAGCCTATTAATCATCTCATGTTTGCAGATGATAGTTATCTTCTCTTCAGGGCAAACATTCAGTCTTGTAGAAATGTTAAGAGACTCATAGACAAATTTTGCAAACTCTCACGACAGAAATAAACCTCAATAAATCTGAATTGCTTCTAAGCCCTAATTGCCCACAACAACACAGAAGATGGTATACAGACATTCTAATTAGAGTTAAAGAAGTTCCCACTGCAGGGAAGTATCTTGGAGTCAACCTTGGTTTACTCAAAAGAAGTAAGGAATTCTTCTAGCCCTTAGTGGACAAATTTAATTCCAAGCTGCAGCAAGGTTGGAAAGCTCAACTACTATCTCCAGGGGGAGACTTATTCTCATTAAGTCGACCTCGGTCAACCTACCAATTCATCAGATGGCGTGTTTTAAAGCACCCAAAGGAGTATGTGACTCTATTGATAATGTCACTAGGAACTTCTAGTGGGAGCACAAAAGTGATGAAAGAAAACTGCACATGAAAAATTGGGAGTCTCTGTGCAAACCAAAAGGAGTATGAGGATCGGGAATAGGAAAACCGAGCATATGAATGAGGCTTTGCTAGCAAAACAAGCGTGGAGGATTATTGAAAAGCCTAAGTCTCTGTTAGCCACCCAACTCAAGGCAAAATACTATAGAACTAAAGCTTTTACAGAAGTCATTCCTAAGCAGGGAGATTCATGGATGTCGACTAGTATGCTGGAAGGGAGAAATGTTTGTCTCAAAGGAATTGAAGTGCAAACATGGTCAGGTGATAAACTACTTATTAGAAATGGTCGACTTGAGATCGGACCTGAGTAAGAACAACACCCTCAAGGGGGAATGCCTGCCAGGAATGTTCGTTGTCTAAGAAACAAAACTTCGAATGAATGGCTTGTAAGTATTCTTCTTAATGATGAGGAAGTGGAAAATCTGACTAACAGAACTGTGTCTATCTATGGGGGAGAAGACATGATAGTTTAGAAGAACAGCTTCAGATGGGTTTCTCTGTTAAGTAAGCTTATAAAGTCATCATCAATGAGGAGTTAGGGGACACACTCGACCTCACACATAGGTAGAGTGGGGAAAATTGTGGAAGCTTAAAATTCCTTTCAAGATGATCATTTTCCGCTGGAAGATCTGCACAAACAGTCTTCCTATAAAGACTGAACTAATCAAAAGGAATATTGGCAATAACAAAGAATGTAGCTTCTGTGATCAGTGAGAGGAGTCTCTGGAACATCTCTTTTGGCTTTGCCCCCTGGCGAGAACAGTGTGGTTTGGATCCAACTTAAAGCAGTGGATATTTCAATGGCTAGCTTGTGATGACCTCAATAAGGAGGAACACTGATGGTTCTCCACCACTTTTACCAGTACTCTTTGGTTGATATGGATCTATAGAAATGAGTGTCTTTCAAGGAGCTAGACCAAACCCGCATGGACTACTCCTTAGGACACAACAACTTGGCAATACTATACAAGAAGCCTAGACAAAAGATGTGATCAATCAACAGGATGGAAGAATTGCATACCAAAGGCCAAAACAGGGTCGACAACTGGCTCGAATAGGTAACCTTCCACTGATGAGAGCAAACGAATGGTGCCTCTTCATGGAGATTATAAAAAAACCCGTGAAGGAATTTCATATGGAGGAGCAGCTCTAGTTAGGAAAATAAGCGGGGAAATAATGCTTCTGGTTAGAAGTTTTTAGGCCAATAGTAAGATCATGGCCAGACTACTCCAAGCGAGATCCATACTAGCCAGACATCACCACCATGGAGTGAGCTGAATCTGGTGTAAGGATGTGGCCAAAACGTGGGGGACTATTCTTGAAGGCAGTGCTACAGTCCATTGGAAAATGCTACTAGCAATGCAGGATGTTAAGAACCTGGCACAAACCTTTGAAGCCATTGGTCTTTTTTCAAGTCAACACCCCTTAGCTAAGGAGACAAAAGAGGCAGCAACAAAGGCGGCAATGCATCAGCTCTCCTACTCCTATCCTTAATTTTGCTAACTCATTTTGCAACATTTTGCTTATGTACCAAAAAAAAAAGAGATTAAACAATCCGGTCCATAATAATATTGGATTTTATCAACCGGTAAGGAGAGCCAACGTTAGCCATCAAATCAATGTTAAACATACTTCATGTTCTATTGGAATTAGTATTCACTAATTAAAAAGATATAATATATATATAAACGAGCTAAGTGAATGGATCGGATAAAGTTGTTTCTTTTAGGTTCATTTGGGAAAAATTTTAAACGACACTCCTCCTCCACATGACATCAACTAGATTGATGCCCGCGCAAAATGGCGCGGGTTGTATATTTTTAATTTTGAAATTATTATATTTACATTTATTCAGTTGATTTTATGTAGTATATGATAATTAAAAAATTAATTTAATACAAAGAAATGTTGATTTTATATCTATTTTGTTAAACTTGAATGGTTCGAATTTAATACAAAGATAACAACGTTATAAGAGTACGTAAATAAGAAACCGCTCATACTTTAAAAAAAAAATTAGTATCCATTTATAATTTTAGATAATTATATTCGAGGAAAACATACAAACAAAGATGTTTCTATAGTTGATAAAAAATAAAAATTATTATTATAGTTGATCCAAGATCAGAACGACTTGAAACCTGAATGATTCAATAGCCGGATGGTTGGAGACTTGAGACACAAAAGTCTAATTAATTTAGTGAGAAAAGAAAACTAAAAGGACAATAATATAATCTTTTAAGAATCTATCAATAGTTTGAGACAATAATATCTTGGGAAAATATAAACAAAAAAAATTAACACTAACAAAAAAGTTTTGAGAGTCTATAAAATGTTAAATAATTATTAGAGTTAAATTGTATCTATTAATAGTTTGAGACAAAAATATTTGTGAGAAAAAGTTTAGAGACTCGACAAAACGTACAAAATTATTAAGATAAAATCCGAGATCTAAACGATTTACAACTCGATTGATTCAAATTTAATACAAAGAAATCAACATTATAAGAGTATGTAAATAATAAATCGGTCATACTTTAAAAATAGAAAGGAATAATATTTTTTTCAGTACCTATTAATAGTTTTAGACAATTACATTCATGAAAAATACAAAAAAATAATAACAAAAATGATTTGAGAGTCAATAAAACATAAAAATTTAGGGTAAAATCCAAGCTATTAGAAAATGAAACAACCCAAAAAATAATACAAATAAAAAAGCTTAGAGAGTCGATAAAACATAAAAAAAAAACCATCAGGAAAAAGTATGGATGGCAGTGATTCGAATATCTGCCAAAATCTTAATATCCAAATCCGTATCCATTTAGGGGGCATTTCGTTAGAATCACCCCTTAGATCACTGGTGATCTTAGATTACCTAGAGGGGTAGTCGGGGTTAATTCAGATTACCACACCCAAAAAAATGCAACATCTGCAAATGAAACAGGTTGATCTTTAAATTGTGATATCTGAATCTGCCGTTTGTCTACCTATTTTCTAAAAGTAATATCCAAGTCGGCTTGGCCACCGCGTGCGCTCTGCCTAATCCGTTTATGGAGCAGATATCCATTGAAAATTCGAACTCAAATTCGAATCTGACTAACCATAATTTAAAGATCAATAATTTGTCTAAATTGACTTAATTTATAAATTTGAAATTCGATAACAAAAACATAATGGATTATGTCATATTGGCTTCAATAACTAATTATAATGGGCTTCTGAATGTATTAAATGGATTAACTTAGTGGATCTGGATCAGATAACCGTTCCAAATCTGTTTGTATAAACAGATTCGGATATATAGCAGATACTTGAGGGATAATATGCGCCAAAGCTTCGAATCCGTCACGGATAGTAGTTTCACTATCCAAATTCGCTCTGTATCCATATATGACCATTCAAATCTGCCCTAAATGGATTTGGACAAATTGAATATCCTCCTCCGAGATCCAAACGGCAATTGTCCGAGACACAAATGGTTGGAGACATGAAACACAAAACTCCAATGTAGTAAATGGAAAAAATTTTGGAAATCCAAATTAATT